ACAACAACCTTCATTTATTTACATTTGAATTGCACCACAAATCAAGTTGAAAAGAAACAAATGTAAAAGATTGTGTACCAGTCTCAATACTTTCCAGTAATAATCATTAAGATAATCATTTTAGCATTCAGTGTTATACCAGTCCACATTAGAAAACCACAAAGGACCATGAGAGAACATTCTAGGCTGCATTAAATGCTGTTTAGTTGCCATTGCACAATATGTCATTGTCTCCTAACCTGCTCTTACAGCATGGTGGAGAGAACTACAGGAAGACAAAACCATTAGTGTTATCTTCACAAACTCCTTGTCCACTCTAGTGTGTGTGTGTGTGTGTGTGTGTGTGTGTGGTTTAAGCACACAGCTTAAATAACAGATACGGTAACTGCACAGCAGCCGAGATAAAAAGAGAGATGAGGAGGACATACAGACTGCTGGTTCCATCACACATCAGAAAGACAGACTGCTGGTTCCATCACACATCAGAAAGACAGGACAGACAGACTGCTGGTTCCATCACACATCAGAAAGACAGGACATACAGACTGCTGGTTCCATCACACTTCAGAAAGACAGGACATACAGACTGCTGTTCCATCACACATCAGAAAGACAGGACATACAGACTGCTGGTTCCATCACACATCAGAAAGACAGGACATACAGACTGCTGGTTCCATCACACATCAGAAAGACAGGACAGACAGACTGCTGATTCCATCACACATCAGAAAGACAGGACACAACAGACTGCTGGTTCCATCCCACATCAGAAAGACAGGACATACAGACTGCTGGTTCCATCCCACATCAAAAAGACAGGACAGACAGACTGCTGGTTCCATCACACATCAGAAAGACAGGACACAACAGACTGCTGGTTCCATCCCACATCAGAAAGACAGGACACAACAGACTGCTGGTTCCATCACACATCAGAAAAGAGAGATGAGGAGGACAGACAGACTGCTGGTTCCATCACACATCAGAAAGACAGGACAGACAGACTGCTGGTTCCATCACACATCAGAAAGACAGGACAGACAGACTGCTGGTTCCATCACACATCAGAAAGACAGGACAGACAGACTGCTGGTTCCATCACACATCAGAAAGACAGGACAGACAGACTGCTGGTTCCATCACACATCAGAAAGACAGGACACAACAGACTGCTGGTTCCATCCCACATCAGAAAGACAGGACATACAGACTGCTGGTTCCATCCCACATCAGAAAGACAGGACAGACAGACTGCTGGTTCCATCACACATCAGAAAGACAGGACACAGACTGCTGGTTCCATCCCACATCAGAAAGACAGGACACAACAGACTGCTGGTTCCATCCCACATCAGAAAGAAAGGACACAACAGACTGCTTATCCATCCCACATCAGAAAGACAGGACACAACAGACTGCTGGTTCCATCCCACATCAGAAAGAAAGGACACAACAGACTGCTTATCCATCCCACATCAGAAAGACAGGACACAACAGACTGCTGGTTCCATCCCACATCAGAAAGACAGGACACAGAGATCAACTAAGACACAAACAATATCTTCAAATTAGAGTACAACTCAGTAGTACAAAACAAGCAATTAAAAGTAACCATTACTTGATATATCAAGTTTATGATTATTAGTTTGAATTAGCATTATATTATTATTTCACAAGTTATTGTGTCAAACTGAATCTATGTCCCTAACTGATCACACATCAGAAAGACAGGACATACAGACTGCTGGTTCCATCACACATCAGAAAGACAGGACAGACAGACTGCTGATTCCATCACACATCAGAAAGACAGGACACAACAGACTGCTGGTTCCATCCCACATCAGAAAGACAGGACATACAGACTGCTGGTTCCATCCCACATCAGAAAGACAGGACAGACAGACTGCTGGTTCCATCACACATCAGAAAGACAGGACACAACAGACTGCTGGTTCCATCCCACATCAGAAAGACAGGACACAACAGACTGCTGGTTCCATCCCACATCAGAAAAGAGAGATGAGGAGGACAGACAGACTGCTGGTTCCATCACACATCAGAAAGACAGGACAGACAGACTGCTGGTTCCATCACACATCAGAAAGACAGGACAGACAGACTGCTGGTTCCATCACACATCAGAAAGACAGGACAGACAGACTGCTGGTTCCATCACACATCAGAAAGACAGGACAGACAGACTGCTGGTTCCATCACACATCAGAAAGACAGGACACAACAGACTGCTGGTTCCATCCCACATCAGAAAGACAGGACATACAGACTGCTGGTTCCATCCCACATCAGAAAGACAGGACAGACAGACTGCTGGTTCCATCACACATCAGAAAGACAGGACACAGACTGCTGGTTCCATCCCACATCAGAAAGACAGGACACAACAGACTGCTGGTTCCATCCCACATCAGAAAGAAAGGACACAACAGACTGCTTATCCATCCCACATCAGAAAGACAGGACACAACAGACTGCTGGTTCCATCCCACATCAGAAAGAAAGGACACAACAGACTGCTTATCCATCCCACATCAGAAAGACAGGACACAACAGACTGCTGGTTCCATCCCACATCAGAAAGACAGGACACAGAGATCAACTAAGACACAGACAATATCTTCAAATTAGAGTACAACTCAGTAGTACAAAACAAGCAATTAAAAGTAACCATTACTTGATATATCAAGTTTATGATTATTAGTTTGAATTAGCATTATATTATTATTTCACAAGTTATTGTGTCAAACTGAATCTATGTCCCTAACTGATACCCAGTTTGGTCCAGCTGATTCCATAGATTCTCATGCAAAATGTTAATTAGTGGAAAAAGTCAAGCTTTGTCAGTAGCTCCTAGAGTTAATGTCAGTGGTACTAGACAGACACATTGTCAGTAGCTCCTAGAGTTAATGTCAGTGGTACTAGACAGACACATGTCAGTAGCTCCTAGAGTTAATGTCAGTGGTACTAGACAGACACATTGTCAGTAGTCTATGACATCACAAGCATCTATAGTACTGTACCTAAAGATGTGAGAGCACAGAGAACAACCATCACTACTTCATCCTCCCACAGGATTGGTCCTCCCATGTATACATAGAGGTCACCGGAGTCAACTGTCTGTATGTACATAAAGATCCCATCCTTCAGCAGATTGTAGTTTGGGTCATAATAACACATTATTATATTATTCCATCATTTAGTCATTACATATTCATAACCAGCCACAGTCTTCCCAGTCTCCGACACATGGACCACCAGCCTGCTAGTACACAGGCCTAGCCCATGGTGTGTGTGTGTGTGTCTGTGTGTGTATGTATGTGTTAGTCCACTCCCAGTGCTCTGAGCTGTCTCTCTATCTCGTCGTCAGAGATCTGTGTTTTCCGTTTAGGAGAGGCAGTGGGGAGATTCTTCCCTGCTGCTGGGGCTCTCACCATCTGAAACACACACATTACAACAGCTTAACACTGACACTGGGCTTGCAACCAGGGCCGGTCCTTGCTGTTCTGCCACCCTAGGCGAGACCAAAAAATGCCACCCCCACAAAACTAGAATAGTCCCAGTAAGCAAAATTACGTTGAAAATATGTCTAAAAGACGTATTTTCCAGACGTTGAAGTTAGGTTAAATGTAGGTTCTGATTAAAAGGTGAAAAGGTAGTTTCCGTATGTTTAAAATAAGTTTTCCAGGACATTGAAAAGGCGTAGTTTCCGGACGTTGAAAAATACATATTTTCCGGACGTTGAAATCAGGCTGAATGTAATTTATAGACGTCTATGTTTGGGACAAATCAAGGCTGGTCCAGACCGGACAAAATCTGAAGCAAACATAGATGTCTATGATTCGTTCAGATTTTGCCCGGATCTGACCAAAAATCAATGTCCGTGGATGTTGAAATCAAGGCCGGTCCGGACTACACCGAAAAAAGAAGTCCAAAAGGCGTCGTCGTCGGTCCGTGCTTACTGGGGTGTAGCCTACTATGTCAGCCCACAATGGAATTTTATGAATGCCCATCCTTGTGGCTTTATTAGTCCTGATTCCTGTGACTAATCAATTTGGCTAATTAAGTTCTGAATATCAGCTACCCAACTTTATCAGGAGTTATCATGAGCCTATTTGCAATGTGTTTACACATCGGGAAATGCAGAACTATTTTATTTTTCACTATGATCAGCTTGTCAATAATTGACAGATACAAACTTGAAACCACTGATCATGAGGGTGAAACTCCTGGACAACAGTTGTGATTGTCCATTCTATATTGTCCATTTTACTTTGACCTGTCCTGTTTTTAGGATATGTTAACATGACAGCGCATTTTCTATTTAATTGAGCGCCATTTAATTGAGCGCCATTTAGGTTAGGCATGATGTAAAAAGTGTCTGTCTCATTACATTGTCATACATTTTATCTCCAGCCTGTAGGCTACAGAAAAGGCCACATACTCTTTCTACCATATCCTATATCTGCTACATGATTTATGTTAGATAATTTTTTTGACAGAACATTGGTGGAGCGCTGCAGCGATGCATCTCTCCAACAGCACCCTGGATAGGCACGCTGGGAATGGACAAGCAAAATATTTTGACAAAGTGGGCACTGCTTATCACAGGGCGGCATCAGCGCTCACCTAAAAAGCCCATATGCCACTGCCACTGAGAGAAATTGTCATTGTTTTTGGGCAAAATGATGTGAGATTTTATGTGTTGATGGAGGTGTGTCTTGGTCAGTTTAGCTCGGAAAATGCCACACTTGTCAATCTGCCACCATAGGTGGCTGCCTAATCCTGCCTAATGAGCGGGCCAGCCGTGCTTACAACACACACAGTACAGTAGCTCTTCTGCATTTAGAGCGGTGGTGGTGTAGTAACACATGTTGTCCCCCAGGGGGAGTGGGTTCTCTGCCAGATGGAGACAGCCACTGTAATGGCCTCTCATGCAGGCACAATCTACATACTTTCTTCCCATAAGAACTGGCAGGCTAAGGGCTATCCCCCTCTCCTCCAGCTGTCTGCCTGTCTGTCTGTCTATCTATCTGCACCTCACAGCATCCAGATGGAAAAGGCTTTGATATGGTACAGGACTATCTCTTACCTTTCCAGAGGACTGCATATAGAGGGAAGTGACTGGGGTATGGTATAGGGCAATAGGTCTTACCTTTCCAGAGATCTCAATGCCAATCTCGTCCAGAACCTGGTTCACAATGTCCTGAGATTCTTCCTCATCCCCTGACTCGTCAAATATCTCATCTAACGTATCGTTGACTGGAGGGAGGGAGGGAGGGAGGGGAGTAAAGAGGGAGAGGGGGGGCAGACAGAGAGAGAGGTAGAGAGCCAGAGGTACTAGTCAGTTTACTGTTAAAAGCTGTGAGTTAACAGTTCTTTGAAACACCAGGCAAACACATTGATCTGTATGGAGTTTTTGGTTTGGACTTTGGACAGTTTTTTTTCATGTTACTATTGTGCATCTTTTAAATATTTAAATCCTAGGCTATAAAGCCAATGGCAGCAGGTCTTACTCATGTCCTCTGTCATGCCCATCTTCATGTTCTCCTTCTGGAAGTCCTGCATGGTCTGGAGGGTCTTCTGAGGATCCATCTTCTTGTTCACCGTCTGCATCGTCTGGACAACACGCAGACACACAAGAGTTACAACACAAATACTACTACAACATACCGCACAGACAATACACAACTCCCAGAGCATGTACGCACATTATCAACACACAGAGGGAATCTGCCTCTTCTTCCTGTGTGTTGGCACAGCCATGGCCTAGTTTCACTGTGGAGCCTAAAACAGCCAAACGAGCTGCACACACTGCCTCTAATTAGATGTCATTTGCATATTGTTCCCAAACTGTTTGAGTGTGTGTCTCTGTTTATAGTGGGTCTCTCTGCAGCCGCATAGTGGTGTGTCTCTATACATAGATGAGGCTGGTTTGGGCTTTTTGGTGAAAAGTTAGTATTTTCTCCTCCACAATGAAGACAAATGGCCTTATCCCAGAGTTGCAGGAGCCATAGGGTGCACACATTCAGTTACATACTACCACCTCAGAATTGTGAGCTGTTTTCCCTAAAACACAGTGAGCTGTTTTCCCTAAACACGTTAATTTCATCACTTTGTTACAGCTAATCACCATCCTGATTATGATTAATTGACAGCTTTGAATAAGAAAAAAAAGATTGATCATTAATACATTAATAACAACATTAATAAATACTTAGTGACTGTAACTAGTTCACGTTCCAAGCTCTAAACATGACGGGCTAATATAGTCATTGAACTGGGCTAATTAGATATGCTGCTTTAAACATGACCGGAAGCCTAATTGATAACAGCTAAGATGTGTAAGGATGTCATCTGTGTGTCTGAGCTGTAAACAGGTGTAGGATGGAGGATCTCCACCCAGTCAGACAAGCATTACCATCCTGAGGGGGATGACAGGAAATATAGACAGACTAAGACACTAATTATTACACACTCAAGAGAGGAGAAGAATCCTTTGAACTCTTCTGCTGTTTTTGGAGAAGCCGTTTGAATGTTTTAACTGGGTTAGTGGGTCTGCTTTCAGCCTCATTTACCCAGACACACAGAAACACATAGATGTATGGTGAGTGTGGAGCTACTATACAATAAGAAAATGCTCTAACTTTTGGAGGCCCAACATCCAATATGTGATGGTGTGCGTGGCTGTCTGAATGTGTGTGTGAATGCACGCAGGTGTGTGGTGCTCTTTACCTTAGCCGTAGCAGACATGGCTCCAGCCATCTTCATCTGGGAGTTCATGACCTTGGTCTGTGTGGACATGGAGGTGACCTTTGAACTGACGGCGTAGGTCCTGTTCTTCTGCTTCCTCAGCTGGACCAGCTGCTTGGCCAGGATCTTACACGCCTCGCGGTTCCCAGACTTAGCCATCTTCTTGATCTCCATCTCCTACAAGAGGGAAGGAATAGGAACAGGATTATCAAGGGGGAGCTGTAAACAGGCAACTTCACTACACTCATTCACAAACATACTGTTACATAAATACATACAATACATATACATCAGGTTCCCCAGAGAGCCCTGTTAGAGTGTAAACAGTGTAAATAGTATGATTTGGCGATGGTCTAAACACCTGTGAGCTACCAGCCTCTCTTAGCTTCGGTAAACACATGAAAACAGACTCTCGCCCTGAGGAAACACACCGCAAGGCTGTCCATGTCCCCTGGGAAACAGTACAGATTCAGCTGCAGCCCTGTGTCTGTGTGTATGTGTGTTTGTTCTGAAGAGCCAGACCTGAAAACAACAATTTATTAATGATCATCATTACAGTTTACCGGAATAATATTCCCAAATCCTCCACCCCCTCCCTCTGCCAGTGTGTATGAGGGTTAAACTGCCATTAGGCTGATTGTGAAGTGCTCCAGTCTCCTCCTCAGGTACAGAGCTCTGCTAAACAGCTGAGTAAGAACATTACCATTACAGGCCCATTACATTCCCCTCTGAAACACACACAGGTGCTGTCTGTCTGCCTGCTAAGTAGATTCATGTTAAGAATAGACAAATATAAGACCTAAGCATCTTAATAATGATGCTTCTTTTTGATATCTGCCATAAAGCAAAAATGACACTGTAAATATTTAACAGTGGGAATCTAGGCTGATGTAGCTGAGTTTTAGTGTTGACTGACTGGGATGATGAGTGTTGCTGATGTGAGCTTATTACTGATGTTATACTGCCTCAGAGAGAGAGAGAACGAGAGAGAGGCAAGAGCTAAAACTGACAGATAGATGATGCTATCACACAGAGTAACAATGTACATAGAGACAGACTGATCTAATGTTCACTGGACCAGGGCAATATTTCAGGTAGATAAGTGACAAAACATGTTCCTTTTCATCTGAATAATGAACCAAGTTGTTCTATAGAATAAATTGGCTATAAATTCAAAGCATTACACACACAGTGCTGAATAATATAGATACTATATCTGGTTGAAAGAAGAAAATATTATTTTCGAAACTGTGCTGTTGTGTTTTTGGGGCGCGTGCTGAAAGGCTCAGTAGTCTCTGTGTTAGTGATAATAATGTTGACATCAGTTGTTTTTGGGGTGCGTGCTGAAAGGCCCAGTAGTCTCTGTGTTAGTGAGTCTAATAATAATGAGGAGTCTCCCAGCACAGCAACTACAGCAGCCCCAGCAGAGGAAGAGCAAACAGAGACAGGGAAAGCTGTGTGTGTGTGTGTGTGTGTGTGTGTGTGTGTGTGTGTGTGTGTGTGTGTGTGTGTGTGTGTGTGTGTGTGTGTGTGTGTGTGTGTGTGTGTGTGGCACAAATACATTTATGCTAAACTGTAATATAGGTCACTTCCTCTTCTTAGAGAATATATTTTTTTTCAGACCAACAACAAAGATAACAACTAGATAAAAACTAGATAAAAACTAAATTAATTAGGAGAAATATTAATGAGTAATAAAAAGCTGGTCCCTTGGGAGGTAATTATGGCCTGTGTGATGTTTACTTAAAACAACAACGAGCCACCACTCTTCCTTTCATCCTTCTGACATAGGAGGAAATGGAGGGGAAATGTTCTATTCTGCTGTTCACACAGTCCTATTGTGACTGTGTGTGTTCTACCTCCTCTCTCCCCTGTAGCTATTCTACCTGTCCAATCCTGTCCTTTCTATCCCAGCCGTTAGCTAAGCAGCCTGTAGGCCTATCAGACAGCGCAGGAAAGGGATGCGAGTGGAGGTAGGATGGAGCAGGATTAGCCTACAGTCATTTACACACGTTTGATGCAATCAGCAGCAATCTAAGGAAAAGGATCTACTGAGAAACTAAAACCTGGCTCAGTCCTACCAGCACTTCATAGGGTGAGTTGTGTGTGTGTGTGTGTGTGTGTGTGTGTGTGTGTGTGTGTCTCACCATTTGTTTCTCTTGTTTCTCCAGAGCAGCTCTGTCTCTAGTGATCTGTCTCTGAGTACCGCGAAGCTCCTTAGTTTGTTCCTTTATAACATCTGAGAGAGAGGATACAGAAAACAAAGGAGATATTTATTTATTTATTTATGACATACAACTCATTCATACAGTTATGCTGGGCATTGAGCTACGCTTTCTGTTTAGCTAAAGAAGCACAGTACCATTCTGTTCACACGGGTAGATAGACAGGGACAATAGCTCTGGACATTCCTCATTAACAGGGCTGAGTCTGGAATCTAAACCATCCCTGCCTCACACACTATCCATTACCCCGACATGGCGTGTGTATAACACAATCCGTCACACACACCATGCTCAAAATACCACAGACTCAACTGTACACGATAAAACTTGATTATTTCTTAATGTACAGAGGGACCAACACTAAAGAGATGCTCATCATTTAACTCTTATCGAGATATTTCATACTTCAGATAGACCCAGACTAAAAACATCCCTTCGGAACATATTATTTATACTTTTAGAAATGTAGGCAGGGTAAACTATGTGGTGTCGTGTTTCAACGGTTTCCAATAAAAACGCACCAGGCTCCTGATTTGATACATACAACAGCAATAAAAACAAAAAAGAAGAATCCACGTTTTAAGGCAGGATAAAACCACTGAAGTGTAGCATCAAGGGGACAATATAGGCACAAGCATGAAATGAAGTGGAAAAGAGATAGTCATACAGGAGCAGTCCCTAAGACACACACCCAGCAGTGGTTTATGAGTTTGGGGGAGAGCAGTCCCAGAGACCAGGCATGTCTGGAGGCAAGGGCACACTACTGTCCTAGCAATTTCCTGCAAACTGCCTCTCTCTCTCTCACACACACACACACACACACACACACACACACACACACCCTGCTGTGAATGTGTCCCTGCCATCCCACCTCGCATATTTGGGTAGAGGACCCGGTCCCTCTCCACTGCTATTAGCCCTAAGGTTACCGCAGACACGCACATGCAGACATAGTAAGCTTGGGCAGTCTACCAGCTGATACAATAAACACTAAACCATTGCACCAGAGCCAGAGTACTGCCAGAGATGACCTCTACAGTGGAGTGGGTACCAGTAGCTCTAACACAACCTCTAACTTGACCCTCTGTTGACCCTCTGTTTCACTACTGGATCAAATGCTAGATATTCAAAACACTAGCTTACTTTTCTTAAAAGAAGGGTTTTCCTCAAAACTAAAGAAAAGTATAAATAAAACATTTCAAAACAATATGAGGATTTTTTGGGGGGTGTGTGTTAGAGAATATAATTCCTGCAGTAACAGTCCAAACTGAAGGATGGCAGCAATGAAAGTTGTGTTGTTGTAAAGCATGACAAGCTTTTAGAGGAAAATGCATGGTGAAAGTGATAGAGAAATTATATATATATATATCCAGACTGCAGAAAAGTTTAATAAATGTTTTTGCAGATTAATAGGCTCTCAATCTTATACAATTACCCTAAAGTACAAATGTTGACAAAAAATACAATAAAATAGTGAATATCCTTGCTATAGGTACCAGTGGCCTCATCTCCCCCAAAACGTAATAGAGAGAGAGCTGGACCACTTGTGAGAGTTAAACGTAGTACCTACGTACAGGGTGACGTATTGACAACGTCTAAAAGAGGGTGGGGTAATAATCTATAAAACTCCACCAGCTAACCTCCGCCCGCCATCGCACCCCCGCACGCCACTACACGCCCTACCATAGGATGCCACTGCTTCTCAACATCGGGCAACCTTGGCACACCATGCCCAGAGAGAGAGGAGAGAAGGAGAAGAGGAGATATCCTATCAACTATCTGACCTTGAATAAAGGTACAGTACAATTACAGTAAGTGAATATTCTTTATCAATGACACTGTTGTCACGGAATAACTTATTCATATTAAATGAGATACATTTGCAATTGAATTAGATGGAAACTTGCAATATGTTTTTGTTTAATAAAGTAATTAGTGATTTAGATATAATTGATGCATTATATTTTCTAAATAGCCCGAAGGGTTATTGCATTTTGACCTTGTAAGGTTGATGGCCATTAAGCAAGACATTTTAACTGATAGGCATTAGGCCCAGTATTTATAAGATGGAGACATTTTAACTGATAGGCATTAGGCCCAGTATTTATAAGATGGAGACATTTCTTCCTCTTTATTTTCTTAACCTTCGTTATCGAGGTAAGGCACATTGAGATAAAATATATATTTCAAGAGACCTGAAAATCTATATTTTGGGGTTCTTCGTTCAACATATTGCTACATTTTCAAAGTGTCAGCAGCATTAAAAGCTACAGGCAGCCTGAGCTCGCTCTCTGTCTCTCTCTCTCACACACACATACCTAATTATCACTGTTGTGTGTATTGACTGATGACTTTGTTTACTCTTGCACAGTGGCGGCTCCTGAACAAATTCTCAGGGAGGGCAATTTTTCTGATGATTTAGGTGACCTACACACATTTTTAAAAAGATATGTCCAGCAACAACATGAAGACAGGGGCAGCATATAAGTCAATACCAGAAGCATTTATTGACTGATCTCAAAAGTGTTGGCTTACAAAAGCAAAATAAGTTATCACAGTAAAAATAATCAAGGGTGTTCTTTCACATTCCTCAACACTGCATAAACAATATGCATTTCCATAAACAAATGAAATATCAGCTGAAAATACAGCATCTTGGTATTTGTTCAGATTGCAGGATCAACAAGAGCTTTTACCACATTTTTTGATATCTGTTTAATCTTACCTTATGGCCTGCACTTGCTTGTGAAGCTGTCGAGGGCACGTTTGATAGAGACAGCATCGATGTCCTTCTTCTGTAGCTTCTGGTACAGAATGTCGACGTGGGGCATGATTTTGTGAAAAAGCCGCAGGAAAAAAATTAAATCTTCATCATGTAGTATCCTCACGTAGCCAGCTGCCTCTCTCAAGGTGTGCTGGTCAAATGAACCCAATGAACCCGTCCGGATGGCTTCAAAACATTATATGAGGTCGTCTCGATTCTCGTAGACAGTGTTCACGACTCTGCTGTTGCTAACCTCATCGTTGTGGCGGCGGACAGCTAGCCTGTATCCCTCATCCAGTTGAGTGGCAATATTCACTCTCCCAAAAGCAGACAATCTCAAACAGCTATATGTGGGTCTTTGACAGCTAATTTTTCTTAATCTTTTCTGAAAGATGGTGCATGTCGGTTACACCAGTCGCTGTCCAAGCGGTGCTGTCTGCTGTGCCGCCTTCAGGGTGGAAGAGTAAGCAGGGGTAGCAAAAAACTGCATTAGCTACATCGCAGCCTGCTAGCCAGGTTTTCCGTTCATACCAATTTTTGGAAAATCCTCGGGTGTAGGACTTCCCCCCTTTAGTAGACACCTGTTGAATTATTAAATTTGGTCTGGGGGGTCCTAATTGTTTCGTTGCCAATTTATCTTCATTTGTTCGCCGACAAAAAGGAACTTCTTTCAAACACACAATCGAGTTGGACTGAAGCCTAGCCATTTTGATAGTAGTAGTGAATTGAATGAGGCTGCTACCTGGTCTTTTCTTAGTTACGTTCATTCGTGGTTACGTTATGTATGACGAAAGCGCGTAAGTGCAAGCCCACAGACACCCATAGAGAATGTATTGAAAGCTTTGAAATGTGACAAAACTAGATTTTACATGGGAGTCTATGACAGACTTCTGGGCGATTTTCAACCTGACTGAAATCGCCCAAAAAACGGGCGGGGCCATTTGAAGCACGACTTTAGCCTGATTTGACATTTAGTGGCTGGCAGATCAGACGTGAACACTGATAACTGCTGTTGCCGTGATATAATTTTTTATAAATTTATAAAAAAAAAATATTTTTTTTTATTTAATTTTTTTTTAAATAATTGATTAGAAAAAAAATCCCTTCCTTTTCCCGTTTGGCAGTGCGTCGCCCATATCGCCCTATTGAACAAGCCGTCCCTGCTCTTGCATCATGTTTGACAACTCTGTGAGCCGAATGGAAATCTAGACATGATCATCACTTAACGAGCCATTGTGTGGGGGATTGGGGCAGTAGAGGGACTGGAGCAGACTATTGTCAACATAACCTATATCCAGCTGTCTTTTAATTAACAGAATGAAGTAACGCAATCATTCAACATCAGTATCTATGGATCACATGATTCTCTCACTAGTTCTGTCTAAACCTGAACAAAGCTTTCTTACAGGACTTACACTGCTAGATGCTGTTCCTCATGGAATTCTCTGTTGCAGTCAGCAGGTAAATTACAAAGTAACACTTGAACATAGTGTAGACAGCATCATCGCATCATCACATCAATTGAACAATGTAACAATGTCTACAGCTACAATGTACCTGTTCACCAGTTACACGATGGTCATAAATCGTGACACACAGAACACAGTTTTTTTAAAACAACTTTACCAGCTACCTTCACTAATACACAGACACGTGGAATTGTATGTCTAGTTTCAGGCAGCCAGTTTATAAATAGCCTGTTAATTTCAGCTAATCCTCATTAACACACAATCTACCTTTAGATGATTCCACGTTGACCAATGTTGATTTCGTAACATAAACATGAATCTTGACTTTTTAAACTGGTATCAGTTAAACTGGTAAAACAGGCTTGTTCAGTAGCTGATGCCGTTAGTGGCGCACTGGCGCTCACCAATTCAAACAACTTTGTTAATTTGTTACAATCCTACAATCAGCGGAAAACAAACTTACCGTCGACTGTCTTCTTCTTGAATAGAGATGCCATGGCGAACAAATGAAAACTAAAACCTTGTTTTACTAAAAACAACTTATCTGCTCCCCGACGGTCACCAGCTAAACTATAACCCTATCAACAAACGGAGATTTCCTGGTCGAACTGTTTCCCCAGCCTCACATGACAGCCCTGACACACCGCCGACTCTCTGACGTCACCAAGGGACTCAGCCCAGCTCCTCCAGTCTTCTCGCGGTACTGTTCCAACTCAAAACGGACCATTTTACCATTCATATCAGTGAATGCTGTAAGAACTGGAGTAGATAAAAGCCATAAAAGTTAAAAGTGATGATTTTATTAACTCTGCTCTGAAATTGCCGAGACTGAGGAGAAAAAGAGGACCAGTCACTTGAAAGCAAGAGTAGGTCGAGCGCAGGCCATTTCTATTAGCATTTTGGATTTTCATTTTTGCATATTGGATTATGCCCCCATTAGAAAATACGTTGGAGGTATTTTCTATGTACATAGAAATATAGCAAATGCTAGAGATTTGTATGTCTGTGTGTGTGTCTCTGTGCGCGCTCGTGCGTGTGTGTCTGTGTGTCTGTGTGTCTGTGTGTGTGTGTTAAGCTATGAAAAAGTAAAGTACCACGTACATAAAAACAACCACATAGGGAGTGATAGACATAAAACCGCTCCCTACAGCTTTAAACCGCAATAAATTATTTTGTTCTCAATCCATCCTCATCTCACTGGATAATGTTACCACTGAGGTCAGGGACCTGCTATATTAAAGAATACATTCATACAGGGACGGCTTGTTCAATAGGGCGATATGGGCGACGCACTGCCAAACGGGAAAAGGAAGGGATTTTTTTTCTAATCAATTATTTAAAAAAAAATTAAATAAAAAAAAATATTTTTTTTTTATAAATTTATAAAAAATTATATCACGGCAACAGCAGTTATCAGTGTTCACGTCTGATCTGCCAGCCACTAAATGTCAAATCAGGCTAAAGTCGTGCTTCAAATGGCCCCGCCCGTTTTTTTGGGCGATTTCAGTCAGGTTGAAAATCGCCCAGAAGTCTGTCATAGACTCCCATGTAAAATCTAGTTTTGTCACATTTCAAAGCTTTCAATACATTCTCTATGGGTGTCTGTGGGCTTGCACTTACGCGCTTTCGTCATACATAACGTAACCACGAATGAACGTAACTAAGAAAAGACCAGGTAGCAGCCTCATTCAATTCACTACTACTATCAAAATGGCTAGGCTTCAGTCCAACTCGATTGTGTGTTTGAAAGAAGTTCCTTTTTGTCGGCGAACAAATGAAGATAAATTGGCAACGAAACAATTAGGACCCCCCAGACCAAATTTAATAATTCAACAGGTGTCTACTAAAGGGGGGAAGTCCTACACCCGAGGATTTTCCAAAAATTGGTATGAACGGAAAACCTGGCTAGCAGGCTGCGATGTAGCTAATGCAGTTTTTTGCTACCCCTGCTTACTCTTCCACCCTGAAGGCGGCACAGCAGACAGCACCGCTTGGACAGCGACTGGTGTAACCGACATGCACCATCTTTCAGAAAAGATTAAGAAAAATTAGCTGTCAAAGACCCACATATAGCTGTTTGAGATTGTCTGCTTTTGGGAGAGTGAATATTGCCACTCAACTGGATGAGGGATACAGGCTAGCTGTCCGCCGCCACAACGATGAGGTTAGCAACAGCAGAGTCGTGAACACTGTCTACGAGAATCGAGACGACCTCATATAATGTTTTGAAGCCATCCGGACGGGTTCATTGGGTTCATTTGACCAGCACACCTTGAGAGAGGCAGCTGGCTACGTGAGGATACTACATGATGAAGATTTAATTTTTTTCCTGCGGCTTTTTCACAAAATCATGCCCCACGTCGACATTCTGTACCAGAAGCTACAGAAGAAGGACATCGATGCTGTCTCTATCAAACGTGCCCTCGACAGCTTCACAAGCAAGTGCAGGCCATAAGGTAAGATTAAACAGATATCAAAAAATGTGGTAAAAGCTCTTGTTGATCCTGCAATCTGAACAAATACCAAGATGCTGTATTTTCAGCTGATATTTCATTTGTTTATGGAAATGCATATTGTTTATGCAGTGTTGAGGAATGTGAAAGAACACCCTTGATTATTTTTACTGTGATAACTTATTTTGCTTTTGTAAGCCAACACTTTTGAGATCAGTCAATAAATGCTTCTGGTATTGACTTATATGCTGCCCCTGTCTTCATGTTGTTGCTGGACATATCTTTTTAAAAATGTGTGTAGGTCACCTAAATCATCAGAAAAATTGCCCTCCCTGAGAATTTGTTCAGGAGCCGCCACTGCATTCATAGGATGGTTTCTCTTCATATTCATGCCGCAACTTCTGCAGTCTGGTCACTTGAACCGTAACAAACTCAATTCCATGAAAATTCTGAGTTCCCTCCATTTGGTTAAATGGAAAAGAAGGGAGTAGAGAAGAGGAGAATAGGAGAGTTAGAAGGGGAGTTCTGGCTCAAAATGAGAGGATGGGGCCAAGTACAGGAGGAGAGGAGAAGATAACAGATGAGAGGAGACAGAGGATAGTGGGGTGACTTTGAGAAGACAGAGGAGAGGTGGTTGAGTAGCCTTCAGCTCATCCCCCTCTCCCTCCCAGCGGAGGAGAGCAGCGTCCTGGGGCGTTGTTCTAGTTAAGGTTATTAGGAAGATGTTAGGTCTAATCAGTAGTAGACTACAGGGAACAGCGCTAAACGCTGTCATCACTACCACTACCACAGGCCCAGAGGTGATCCATCCAGCCAGCCCCCAGCACACAGGCGCTCTACAGCACCCTTCATAATGGCACTAACCACAGCCTGCTGTATTTGCTGTGAAGGCTGTCTTCAGTTATATTAAATATTTACATCTCATATTGGAGGGAAGGGAGGGGGGACATGTTGAGGACATTAAATGAGAATTCCTTCTGTGGTATTTAAAAAAATGTATCTCTCCATTCTATCTCTCTCCCTCTCTCTCTCTCTGTTGGTGGTTTTGCCTTAGGCGAACAGACGTTTAATGTTAATGTGTTGCTAACTAACTACACAGACAGACAAACAGACAGACAGCAGAGAGAGATATCGTGTGAAATTAGATCCCAGTACAATCACTGGGAATCTCTGAGAATCACCTATATAAAATACACATTTTGCTTTGAGGTATCATTCTACACGTAGACTCACTGTAGTGTAATCCATATGCAACACATAATAAAATATATGCTTTCCCTTCAGGAATGTTGAATGATGACTTTGTATACTGCCCTACCAAGCAAAAAGGCAGTAACTGCTCATTTGGTCGAAAATGAGTTAGTCATTTTTGCTACATTAAATACATGCTTAATCATGTGGACAAGTATCCTGCCTCTATTGTATTGTGTTTTGGAGAAAATGGGGGTCATGTTAGCAGTAACTGCATAAGGTTACTGTGAAACCAAGGCAAATAAAAGCCATTTTTCTCAGTTCCACGCTATGAGCAGTTACAGTGAGGGAAAAAACTATTTGATCCCCTGCTGATTTTGTACATTTGCCCACTGACAAAGAAATGATCCGTCTATAATTTTAATGGTAGGTTTATTTGAACAGTGAGAGACAGAATAACAACAAAAATATCCTGAAAAACTCATGTCAAAAATGTTATAAATTGATTTGCATTTTAATGAGGGAAATAAGTATTTGACCCCCTCTCAATCAGAAAGATTTCTGGCTCCCAGGTGTCTTTTATACAGGTAACGAGCTGAGATTAGGAGCACACTCTTAAAGGGAGTGCTCCTAATCTCAGTTTGTTACCTGTATAAAAGACACCTGTCCACAGAAGCAATCAATCAATCAGATTCCAAACTCTCCACCATGGCCAAGACCAAAGAGCTCTCCAAGGATGTCAGGGACAAGATTGTAGACCTACACAAGCCTGGAATGGGCTACAAGACCATCGCCAAGCAGCTTGGGGAGAAGGTGACAACAGTTGGTGCGATTATTCGCAAATGGAAGAAACACAAAATAACTGTCAATCTCCCTCGGCCTGGGGCTCCATGCAAGATCTCACCTCGTGGAGTTACAATGATCATGAGAATGGTGAGGAATCAGCCCAGAACTACACGGGAGGATCTTGTCAATGATCTCAAGGCAGCTGGGACCATAGTCACCAAGAAAACAATTGGTAACACACTACGCTGTGAAGGACTGAAATCCTGCAGCGCCCGCAAGGTCCCCCTGCTCAAGAAAGCACATATACAGGGCCGTCTGAAGTTTGCCAATGAACATCTGAATGTTTCAGAGGAGAACTGGGTGAAAGTGTTGTGGTCAGATGAGACCAAAATCGAGCTTTTTGGCGTCAACTCAACTCGCCGTGTTTGGAGGAGGAGGAATGCTGCCTATGACCCAAAGAACACCATCCCCACCGTCAAACATGGAGGTGGAAACATTATGCTTTGGGGGTGTTTTTCTGCTAAGGGGACAGGACAACTTCACCGCATCAAAGTGACGATGGACGGGGCCAAATCTTGGGTGAGAACCTCCTTCCCTCAGCCAGGGCATTGAAAATGGGTTGTGGATGGGTATTCCAGCATGACAATGACCCAAAACACACGGCCAAGGCAACAAAGGAGTGGTCAAGAAGAAGCACATTAAGGTCCTGGAGTGGCCTAGCCAGTCTCCAGACCTTAATCCCATAGAAAATCTGTGGAGGGAGCTGAAGGTTAGAGTTGCCAAACGTGAGCCTCGAAACCTTAATGACTTGGAGAAGATCTGCAAAAAGGAGTGGAACAAAATCCCTCCTGAGATGTGTGCAAACCTGGTGGCCAACTACAAGAAACGTTTGACCTCTGTGATTGCCAAAAAGGGTTTTGCCACCAAGTACTAAGTCATGTTTTGCAGAGGGGTCAAATACTTATTTCCCTCATTAAAATGCAAATCAATTTATAACATTTTTGACATGCGTTTTTCTGGATTTTTGTTGTTGTTATTCTGTCTCTCACTCTTCAAATAACCCTACCATTAAAATTATAGACTGATCATATCTTTGTCAGTGGGCAAACGTACAAAATCAGCAGGGGATCAAATACTTTTTTCCCTCACTGTACTGCCTTTTTGCTTGGTAGGGTAGTATAGGAACATGGGCTTTTATATTTTTTC